GCCCCTATCAAGCCATCATCCGCGAGCGGCATCTCTGTTGGATTTTGCGTAAAGTGGAGATCCAAGAACTCCAAAAAATTGCAACTTTCCTTTGGCCTAAATATAGCCAGCTCCGAATGTTGTCCTCCTCAGAGAGAGACAACCTTCTCCAGGAGGTTCGGAGACAGCTCAGTGACATCCCATTCCGCACCCAGGAGACCGCCACTGAAGGACCCGCGCCCAAGAAAGCTGCAGTTGACTTTGACGACGAGTGGGAAAATGTACCTGTGGCAGATGCCACAGACGAAGTCGAGATGTACTCGACTCAAAATCATACAATGCAGGATGACAGAGATGTTTTGGGCTGGTGGAGCGATCATCAACTCAACTACCCGAAGCTTAGTGTCCTTGCCCGCGGCATCCTTGCTATTCCAGCCAGCAGCAGCAGCAGTGAGCGCAACTTCAGTGCTGCTGGCAGGACCATCGAGCAGAGGAGGACAGCCTTGAAGCCATCCACCGTTGATGCAATCCTTTTTCTGCATAAAAACCTGGATTAGCCTAAACCTTGAAGGATAGATTATGTGAATCCCATGTTACAGTTAGCCTCACAGTTTCCGAGAAAAATGGTAAGAGACGAGTGATTTTCATTTCAATAAGCTCATAGGCCTACGTTTAAAAAGTGTTACGTTAATGTTTTGTTCTGTTAGCTTGGGTAATTTAATATAGACCTAGCTTTGTTAATTTAATTTCAATTGGTTTATTTGTTTGGGCCTCTTGTGCGCGCCTGTGTTAACATGCGCTGTTTTGGCCGTGTGTGGCGCATGCTGATGCGTTGCGCACATCTGTAAACATTTTCCGAATGCCTTCCAGTTGCTAAATAAAAGTGGGCTTTCAACACAAACAAACGTACGTGTCATTAGTATGAGAAAAAAAAGAAGATTTTTAACTGTGTCGGGCTCGGACATAAATATCTTAATGCCTGTCGGGCTCGGGTCGGGTTCTGGTACTGCCCTGTCGGACGCGGGTCGGGCTCGGACAGAAAAATGCGGCCCGATCCGCACTCTAGTGGGGATGGGTCCAGGTGCAGGTCCACTATAGAGGGTCCCTCAGGATAAACAGAGAGACTAATATTAGCGTAGACGCCATCCTACTTATGATTTACAAATTACATCAGGATTTACGGGACGTGTTCCCGGTTCCGGCTGGAGTCCGAAATTCGCATCAGAAATTTTTGCACGTTAAAAAAATAATTTGACCTCACGTTATGTCAATGACGCTTGCACACCACCTCCGAAACTTTCGTCCGTCATAAAAAATTTCGGATCGGGTTCGATTTTCTGCGTTTTTCGCATCCACAGCCAGCATTTTGAGAGGTTTTTTGACAATTCAGGGCCGTGAGGAGCTCATCTATGGAACTCGTTCCGCACATCTTTGCACATATGCGCAGTAGGGCTGTCAATCTTCCTCTATAATACTATTCGAATTCCATTCCATATTTTATGTCATATTCGAATAATATTTGAATATTAAATGCTCAAATTCATCCTATTATTAATATTTACGACATTACACATTCTTATGGATGGCCAATGCCACTATAGCCTGTGGTTGTTGTTACATGTTCTGTCCACTAGAGGGACATCTAACATTACTAATAATAAACATTTAGATCGCGTCCATAAACCGTCCATAAACCAGCTATACAGCGTGGTAACCTCGAAAATCCACCAGTATTCTAATAATAACTTAGCTCACCTTATTAGATAGGCTCCTTATATGCTGGCTAATAACTTTTTTAAAGCTGGTTCTCAGACATTGACAGCGCTGTGTTGGACTGATTTGTGCAGCGGTGTTCCAAAGGGCAACATGACATCATGACTTTTACGTCAACATACACGCCACTTTCAGTTCAAGTGGCGTGTTATCTATACGTATTTTTGAGCCATTTCATGAGATCAGTCTGCAAAGGGAGAGAGTTTGCGCGGGACTAGCTAGCTTTCGCGCGGCACTCGCAAGGTCTCTCTATCGCTCTCTCCCTCTCTGCCATGCACATTGCACACGCCACGCGCAATGTATGTTATGCGCGCAGTATGTTCTATCTCGCTCTAGATTCCAGGAGATTTTAACTAATTTGCGGGCATCAGGGAGACGCTATCAACATGCGGGAGACTCCCGGAACTTCCGGGAGGCTTAGGACGTCTATATGGGAAACCCATAGGGGAAACCCCGATGATAGCCTACAGCTTGGATAACGTGCACAATTGATTCAAAAACTTTATTGTTCATTAGACGAAACAAAAGCATTTCATTTTCACATGCGTGTAAGCCGCGAGAAAGACGATATTGCATGTATATATATTTTTAAGCAATATTCGAATAGTAACTTCAGCATTTGAATAGTATTGATTTTTTTTTTTTAAATATTCGAATTTCGGAATTCGTTCCAACAGCCCTAATGCGCAGTGCTTTCAGTTTCAGTTTTTAATTCGATCAAGTGTTTATATCTCTTCTCTCGAATGGATTATGAAAGGAATAACCTCCCCTTTCAATCAGATTGAAATTTCGGATCGATTAATGTGTGCTTGAGCAGCCAATTCGATAACTAATGTATTATTTGGGTACAATATTACCTGTAGCCTATACAGCTGTTCTGTCTGCCCAGCGGTTCCACCGGGCCATGCGCGTGCGTGCGTGTGTCTGTGTGTCCATACCTTAAACATACTGACAGTCTCTGTTCAGAATCGATTGGTTGACGGAAATTGGTGGTCTTGTTTTTAAAATGTGGCTCCAGAATCGCAAGCAAAGCATCAAACTGTTCCACTGACATTCTGAGGTAAATTTTGAATCGCTCGGGATAAATTCGCAACTCCTTTATAAGGAGGTGCTTCCTCTCGGCGCAATTTCAGGATTGGATGGACGTAATATTTTCTCTTTCTTCTCTTTTCAATAAGAGAGAGGACAACAAAATCATCCTCACTGCTTGACGAATCTATTTTGTATTTTTGCGTTTTTTCCCGTAAAGGTTTAATAAATACGCATCGGACTCAGTGTGCAAGGTTTCTGTGCGTGACGAATTTTTAGGCTGACGAATACGAAAAAACGCATACGAAAATGTTGTACTCAGTGTGCAATGGCCTTAATTTTGAATTAAGGAAGTCTATAGTTTGTTGCCAAATGTCTAGTATGCTAGGCCAAAGAGATGTGTTTTTAGTCTAGATTTGAACTGACAGAGTGTGTCTGCTTCCCAGACAATGTTTGGAAGATTGTCCCAGAGTTTTGGTGCTAAATAGGAAAAGGATCTACCCCCTGCAGTTGATTTTGATATTCTAGGTATTATCAACTGGCCGGAATTTCGAGATCGCAATAGGCTTGAAGGACTATAATACAAAAAGAGCTTGCTCAAGTACTGGGGAGCTAAACGATTTAGTGCTTTGTAAGTAATCAGGAATTTTTTAACATTTATACAATGTTTAATATCCAGGGTTGTGCAGGGCCAATGCAGGGTTGGCAGAACCGGGCTAATATGGTCATAGTTCCTGGTTCTGGTAAGAACTCGACCTGCTGCGTTTTAAACCAGCTGTAGTATGTTTATTAAGCGTGCAGGGCAACCACCCTGTAGAGCATTACAATAATCTAGTCTTGATGTCATGAATGCATTAACTAATTGTTCCGCATTTGTCAATAAGAGCATATGGTGTAATTTAGATATATTTTTTAGATGGAAAAAGCGGTTTTAGAGATTTTAGACACATGATTTTCAAATGAGAGATTGGTATCAAAGAGCACACCCAGGTTCCTAACCGACGACAAAGACTTAACAGAGCAGCCATCAAGTGTTAGACAGTATTCTAGGTTATTACGTGTGGAAGTTTTTTGTCCAATAATTAGAATTGACCCTTCGCTAAGCCCCGCCCTCCCTAGTTACTGTTGCTACGCCTGTCAAGCTTTCACGGCTGGCCCATCTATTATAGTGTGGATGCACCCGGTGTCAGACATTCCCAATGAGATAATTAGTAATTTTTGGCGAACAAGTGAAATATCTGAGAGAGCAAGACAAAAGGGACTACAGTATGCATTCGAGGGATATATTCACGACATTATATGCAACTGATTAGAGAATAATTTCTTAAAAATTGAAGTTAAAGCCTAACGTTATAGTCCCAGCGCAAGCAGCAGCGCCTCATACGCTGACCGTTCAAATGGGAAACACAAATTGAGGAACAGCTGTTCATACACAGCAGCGTATGTGAAAATAATCTTAATAATTATAAATCAAACAGCTTATCAATAAATCTTGTGGAAAAACACTAATACCGGGAGAGCCGCGATCGGATTGGGTTAAGTTAAGGGGTAACGTTAGTAGGACGTCGATTAACAAAATGCTGAAATGTATTTTTAAATTATGTCAGTGAGCCTTTGTCTTGTCTCTTTAATCGTCTTATTTTACGTTGTATCATTATGACCAAAGAACCGTCAATATTTCCAAGCAATAGAATAGGTGTTTTTGTTAAGCATGTCAAGCTAGATCAAGCTAGATCACGCCAATCATTTCTCCCCTTGGCTTTTAGATTTTCTGGAAGGAAAACAATTCCTCTCCCCCGTCCAAACTTTTAGTATACCGGTATCAGATTTGCACAATCCATACGCACAATGCTTCAGCATGTTCCCTCGTTCGAAAGCTTGCCAGACCTCCCGCGCATAGTTACGGTTGCTAAGACATGATTGGCCAGTGGCGGTTTTCGGGCGTGGCTTAGCGAAGGGTCAATTTAGAAGTAGGAAACTCATTCCTTCATCTCCACTCATTCTACTCATTGCTTCATCTCCACTCACTCCTTCATCTCCTCTCATTCCTTCATTCTCCACTCAGTTCTGAGCTGATCTAGAATAGACGTGTGTGTCCAGTGATGTCGTTAGTTAATCATATAATCATCTAACTCATTTCCAATGGGTCAGATGAAGCTTTTGATTGTCTGCTGACATTAGTGTCATCTTCTGGTAGTGAAGTGTGTGTGTGTCTGCAGTGTTGGATCAGGCCTGCTGTGCCTTCTCTCTGCTGGAGGAAAACGGATTCCATGAAGATCGACCCGATTTCCTGAGCTTTGACCCGATTGTAGTGGCAGAGCAGTTCACCCTGATGGACGCAGTGAGCAACACACACACTCATACTCACGCTCACACACACACACACAATTACTCGCTCACACACACACACACACACACACACACACACACACACATACTTACTCACACACTAACACTCACACACTCACTGGAAGATATCTGTCTCATTCTCAGAGAGAGAAAGATGTGTTTACACTGAACTGGTGTGTGTGTGTGTGTTGTCCAGGAGCTGTTTAAGCGTGTGGTGCCGTATCACTGTTTGGGAAGCATCTGGTCTCAGAGAGATAAAAAAGGGAAGGAACATCTGGCACCGACCATCAGAGCCACGGTCAGCCAGTTCAACCGCGTCACCAACTGCGTTATCTCCACGTGTCTGAGCGAGCGAACGCTGAAGAGCGGGCAGAGGGCCCGAATCCTGGAGCACTGGATACAAGTGGCCAGAGTCAGTCTGATCACATGACACACGCGTCACATGACTGACACTTCACAAATCGCATGACTAACACATCACGACTAACACATCACATGACTGACACATCATGATATGATTAGCACATATGATTAACACGACACATGACTAACACGTCACATGATTAACACGTCACATAACTAACGCGTCACATGATTAACACGTCGCATGACTGACACGTTACGACTAACGCGTCACATGACTAACACGTCACATTAACATGCCACACGACTAACTCGTCGCATGACTAACACGTCACAAGAGTAATACGTCACATGATTAACATCACATGACTAACACGTCACATGATTAACACGCCGCATGACTTACACATCACATGAATAACACGTCACATGACTGACACGTCACGACTAACACGTCACAAGACTAACACGTCACATGATTAACATCAAACGACTAACGTGTCACATGGCTAATGCATCACACGACTAACACGTCACAAGACTAACGCTTCACACAACTAACGTGTCACATGACTAACACGTCACACGATTAACGCGTTACACAACTAACGCATCACACGACTGACATGTCACTTGACTAGTGCTTCACACGACTAACGCTTCACACGACAAACGTGTTACATGACTAACATGTCACATGACTAACATGTAAGATGACTAACACGTCACACGACTCACGCATCACATGACTAACACGTCACATGACTAATGCTTCACACGACTAACACGTCACACAACTGACATGCCGCACGACTAACGCGTCACACGACTAACGCATGTCTGGTTGATGGTCCACTGTTGATGAGTTTCTCTGCTCAGGAATGTCGGATACTGAAGAACTTCTCTTCTCTTCGAGCGATCCTCTCCGCGCTCCAGTGTAATCCGGTTCACCGCCTCAAGAAAACATGGGATGAAGTTTCTCGGGAAAACATCCGCATCTTCCAGGAGCTGTCGGAGATATTCTCTGATGAGAACAACCACTCGCTGAGCAGAGAACTGTTGATCAAGGTATACCACACCTGTGTGTGTTGTGTGAGAGTGTGTGGGTTTGCGTGTGTGTGAGAGTGTTTATGTGTGTACAGTGTTTGTGAGTGTGTGTGAGTGAGAGTGTATGTTGTGTGCGTGTGTATCTTCGTAACCTCAGAGAACGTTTGTCTGCTGTGTGTGTTTGTCAGGAAGGAACGTCTAAATTCGCCACTCTGGAGATAAACCCGAAACGAGCCCAGAAGCGACAGCAGCCGCAGAGAGATCTGGTGACATATTCACACATCATAAACATTCATATCTAAATGAGATGTGTGTGTGTGTTATACGTCTAAACTCAGTGAGATGTGTGTGTGTTGTACGGCTGAACTCACGACTGGTTGTGTTCTCCAGACTGTAATGCAGGGGACGATTCCTTATCTGGGAACGTTCCTCACAGATCTGGTGATGATGGACACAGCCATGAAAGACTATCTGGACGTGAGTCTCTCTCTCTCTCTCTCTCTTTCTCTCTCTGATCAGTGTAACAGACACACACACTCTCTCTCTCTCTCTCTCTCTCTCTCTCTCTCTCCCTCTCTCTCTCTCTCTCTCTCTCTCTCTCTCTCTCAGACACACACTTTATCTCACTCTCAGACACACATACACACACTCACACACACACACACACACACACACACATCTGACTTCCTCTCATTTCTCTCATCTGCTGTTTAAATGAAACAAAGGATTGTTAGATGACTCTCAGTTTTTTTTTTATTTAACAGTCAGACATACATACAAACAAACCAACATAGTGCAGTAGTGAGCAATCTTGTAAATCCATAATTCCAGCAGTGACCAGAGTGATTTAAGTGTTTGATCTAAGTGTGAATGTGAGCGGGTGTGTGTATGTGTATGTATGCGTAAACAAAGTAACCATTTATTATTTATTACATTGTCATTACAATCACCATCCCACTCCCCACTACCATCATACTGCCCATATTGTGTTGGTAGATTTTTATTTCCATCCTTCCTCCTATGTAACAATTGCCATTGTCAATCCTGCATAAAATAAAATATGATATAATAAGATAATATAATATATCATGGTATATAATATAAGATAATATAATATAAGATAACCTTCCCCCACATCTCATCAGTCCCTATCTTTTCCTTTTTTTTGTTTTGTTTTTTTGTGTGTGTTATGTGCAATGTCTAAGGTGCATTAAAATAGGGAGTACAGTGCGAGAGTGTTCTTAATATGACTCTCAGTTCTTAATAACGGCTTGTGTCTGTGTGTCTTAGGGAGGCCTGATCAACTTTGAGAAGAGGAGGAAGGTGCGTCTGAAGCATGAACTCCTTCTGATGATGTTGTGACTTGTGTGTGTGTGTTAGAGATGTGCAGATGGGCTGTTATTTCATCCGCAACTGAATCACTAAACTCCTCAAACATCCGCACCAACAATCTCCAGAGACGTGCCCGCCGCCGTCTGCTGAGTGTGTGGCACAGAGCGGAGGCATTAGCCTACAGCGCTGCAGCGGTGGGGAGCAGAGGTGTTAGCTTTAGCCTACAGCGTTGCAACGGCACTGAGCGGAGATGTTAGCCTATAGCGTTGCAGCGGCACTGAGTGGAGGCATTAGTGTTAGCCTATAGCATTGCAGTGGCACTGAGCAGAGGCGTTATAGCGCTGCAGCAGCACTGAGCGGAGGCGTTAGCCTATAGTGCTGCAGCGGCACTGAACGGAGTTAAGCCATTGTCGTTGACGCACACCATCAGGTCTAGGTTGATGCGAGACTAGAAAGCTCTTGCCTGTTCTAGAAAGGATACGGATGTACTTTTCCGATTTATATTTTTGATGTAGGTTTTTTTTCATTTGATTGGTTCAACTGCCAACTGCGCATCTCTAGTGTGTGTGTGTGTGTGTGTGTGTGTGTGTATGTATGTGTGAGTGAGACACAGAGTGTGTGTTTGTGTGTGTGTGTGTGTTGATCGCTCTGTCTCTCTCCGCAGGAGTTCGAGGTCATTGCTCAGATTAAGCTGTTACAGCTCGCGTGTAACAATTATAACTTCCAGCGAGTAGCAGGATTCGGGACATGGCTCTCCAGTGTAGAGAAACTCTCAGAAGCAGAGAGGTGAATAACACACACACACACACACACACACACACACTCACACACTTCCTCACTAACTCCACACTCTCACTCACTCACACACACAAGCTGCGTTTCCATCACCCTTCAATTTGCGCAAATTGAAATTGCGAAATGAAAATACGCTCAATGGAAACACGTCAATTTCGCAAAAACTCCCGTTTATCGCAAAAAAGTTTTTATGCTCGAATGAGGAGGTTTTTCAGGCAATTTGAAAAGGGATTTTTTTTCGCAAAACTGCAATGGAAATGGATTTTCCAAGTCAGTGGCGCGTTGCGTGTACATTCAGATGCTATTTTATATAAGCGCGCATGCTTGGCCATAATACAGAGTGTGAACAATGCGCATACACTGTAGATGATTCTCTCAGCTACACAGATGCATTTTACTTTTTGCAAATGATACATTATTATAAGAAAAAATATATAAACATGAGGGAAATCATTGTTGTGTCTATGATGATGTGAAAAATAGGCATAAAGCTTACTCATTTACCCAAATTATTATATGCATGTTTAACCGAAGCTAATTTGGGTGGGTTTTTTCCCATCCCCAATGTCCCTTCTCTTTCTTTTACGGCCCTGACTAGAACATCAATTTCCTCGGCTGTGAACCATTGCTGAAGCGTGCCTGGTAAATGCGCCGTTAAAATAGAATTGCACAATGGAAGAAGCGCACTTCGTTCCTCACGCTCTTAAAGGGAATGTGATATGACGCTCTTATTGGTTTATTTCCGTTATGCCCAAACCACACCTATGAATAATGAAGCTACTCCAGACCAACCCCTTTTAGATTTGCGTCAGGCGCAAGAGGCATTTATCCCGCCGGGAAAATAGCAACAGCGCCGGGATGGGCCACAAAGTTACTTGCGCTTTGCGCTTTGACACTTGCGTTTCAGAACGTTAAAATAGGGCCCTGAATGTGTTTTAGGTCCGTGTCCGCAAATAATAATAATAATTATCATCATTAGCCTATTATAACATTTATTAGGCTACATAAGTAGAAGACGCTTTTATCCAAAAAAGGAACAAAGCAATTCATCACATCTCATTCATAGTACAGGTTGGACAATAATAATAGGGCTAAGATTATCACAAACAAACACTCGATTTTGTCCAATATCCAAGAGTGTGTGCGGAGCACTGGATGGCAGACAGGCGCGGGCGCGCCGTGAACACTTTCATTTTCCCATCAACAGTGGAATCAACTTAAAATACTCTATCATTTCTGGTTATACAGAAAATAATAATACATTATTCACAACTACTTTTATTTGCGTAATGTCACAATAACAAGAAAACGTTGTGCTTTTGTAAAATAGCCTAACATAAAACAATCAGGCGCGCTTTATGATCTTCGAGAACTGGAGCGCGAGAACTGAACCAATAGCCTTAATGTCCAACAGCTTTTAATGTCCACTTTAAAAAGAACAAATTCGAATCGTAAGCTAATACCTTCTGATTATGTAGGCTAATCCGTATGAAAGGTGCAGTTCTCTCTAAAAGTGCACCCGGAGATTATGTTTTTAGCTTGTTATTTTTTCAGACGCGGTTATAATAGCTCACCTATAGCCTACAGCACTGCGGGAAAAATATCATAAATATCCATGTTTTTGGCCTTAGAAAACCAGTAAAATCTACATTTTTTTCCCATATTAATTTGTGAATATTTTTTAAAGGGGGCAAACACACACACACAGACTCACACACTCACTCATACACAGACACACACACTCACTCACTCTCACACACACACACACACACACACACACACACTCTTGATGTCTGTTCTGTCTCCTGCAGTTACAGTCAGTCGTGTGAGATAGAGCCGCTCTCGGAATCCGCCTCAAACACGCTGAGAGCCAAGAAGAGCTCGGGAATCATGAAGAGATGGAGCGAGTGAGTTTTACCTGTTTGTGTGTGTGTGTGTGTGTGTGTGTGTGTGAGTGAGTGCTGAGTGGCACACACACATCACTGCTCTGTTACCTGTGTGTGTGTGTGTAAGTGTTAATGAGGCTCTTTTGTGAAGACATTTACATTGATGTATTCATGTATGCTTTAATCAAAAGCCGCTTGCGCTTTCACATGTTCAGTTCCTGCTCTCTCTCTGCACTGCAGTGTTAGGTCATAATATAAGGTAGCATTACATGTATCATTCCCAGAATGCATTGCAACAAGCTCACTCAGAAATGAGACTTATGGAGTTCTTCCTTGCGTACTGAAGCCATGTGTCCTCTCTCTCTGCAGCCGTCAGCCGGCAGGGTCGGGCGAGGCCGGCGGCAGCAGCTCTGGCAGCTCACACTCGAAGTCCTTCGACCAGCTGCGCTTCCCTGTGTGTGTGAGCGGCTCTGTGTGTGACGGCGGAGACTCCCTCAGCGTGACATCTGCCGGATCCAGCAGTTCTGATGTGGAGGAGCTCAACATCAGCTTCATCTCGGAGTCTCCCGACGCTCTGGAGAAGAAGGTGAGGAGATGTGTGTGTTTGTGTGTGTGTGTGTGTGTGTGCTAGAGGTGAGGATGTGTGAGTGTGTGTGTGTGTACGTGTTAGAGGTGAGGAGATCTGAGGAGTGAGTGTGTGTGTGTGCGCTAGAGGTGACGAGATCTGAGTGTGCATGTGTGTGTGTGTGCGATAGAGGTGAGGAGATCTGAGGAGTGTGTTATTGGCCAGGAGGGCTGGTGTTGTCACGGCACTGGGTTGAATGCTTTCTTTCCCTATAGGCTCCAGTTACAGTGCAGCCCCACTGTTGCAACCCCCCCCCCCCCCCCCAAAAAAAGAAAAGTTGCTTGAGATGTGCGAACAAAAAATAAGAGATACGAAACATGGACAATAGTAGCGCTTTTATACGAGTCAGGGGCGTACCCAACATATCGCAACAATAACCAACCTCATCATCAACACTCAAACATCGCTCGTCGGCAATGGCAAATTGTTTGAAATGACCGATCAAAGCAGGATTTATTTTCACAGAAGTGCGAGCCACGAATCCCAACGCGGCACTTCACAAGATAATAAGATGCAAGTGGCTAAACTAAACAGCTGTTTTACGGTAGAAGTTTTAAACGACTGACATAAATAATCAGTTTGCAAAGACTATCAATCAAAGCTCAGCTTCGGGAAGGGGAGATTTACAGGTAAAGATAAAGAGACTGAGAGAAGAAGAACGAGAGAAGGAGATGGAGATAAGAGAGGAGAGCAGGAAGAGCAATAGCCTATTTCAGACTGTGCCCAGAATGAGAAAAACTTTATTACAATGGATTCCTATTTAACACAGATATACATATGTTCTTTGACAGTGGACAAATAATGTGCCCCCGAACCCCCTAACAAGATCACTTTTGGGATCTCTGTAATTATAAAACTCTGTGTACGGCTATTGCGCTGAATAGAAAATTATATTTTTGAAAAATACAATGAATTACAAGGCTGTACAGAACAGTGCACTATTGCTTATATACTAAAGTTTTAATTACATTATTTTACAGTTTTTTTTCGATTGCTAAACGACAGTGAGCACGACTGGAGCTAAATGTGCAAAACGTCCTCGGGTTACGACTGTAACCCTTGTTCCCTGAGAAGGGAACGAGAACTGCGTCCAAGTGACACTTTGGGGGAACGCCCCTCAGCGTAGCGTCTCTGAAGCATGAATGAAACTAAGCCAATCTCCGATTGGATCAACGTGATGACGTGATGTGTGACGACACATAGGCGGAAGCATATATAAGGAACCGGCACACACAACATGTCAGCTTCTGTGATGAAGCAAGCGCTCCCAGGCAGGGGAAGGCGTGGCCACGAGACGCAGTTCTCGTTCCCTTCTCAGGGAACAAGGGTTACAGTCGTAACCCGAGGACGTTCCCTATCGAGGGAACTCAAACTGCGTCCAAGTGACACTTTGGGGGAACGAGTACCCACTACGCCACAACGCGCCCTGCCTGTCCTGGTGTGAAGCTGCTCACAGGCACACTCAGGACGCGAGCACAAGAGAGCCGGGTGTCGACGGAATGTCTAAGCTGTAAAACCTAATGAAGGTATGTGGGGTAGCCCATCCAGCTGCATCGCAGACTTCCTGGATGGGGGCCCCTGCGAGAAGGGCCCTAGAGGATGCTATGCCTCTAGTGGAATGGGCCCTCACAGCCAAAGGTGAAGGCATACCGCGCACCTGATAAGCTGTGGAAATCGCATTGACAATCCAGTTGCTGATGGTTTGTTTTGAGGCCGGAAACCCCTTTTTGGGCGACCCGAAACATACCAGCAACTGGTCCGCCTTCCGCCATGAAGAGGACCTCTGAATATATATCCCTAGTGCTCTGACAGGGCAGAGCCTATGAAGTCTCTCCTCATCCGCCGTCAGGTGAGGTGGGGGATGAAATGCCTGCAGAACCGTAGGCCGTGCCACATTAGATGGCACCTTAGGCAGATAGCCAGGCCTAGGGTGAAGGATGGCCTTAATGTTGCCTGGAGCAAACTCCAGGCACTCGTTAGATATGGAGAGCGCCTGAAGATCTCCCACCCTCCTCAGAGAAGTGATGGCCAACAGAAAAGCGACCTTCAGCGTTAGGTTCTTGGCCTCAGCCGACTCCAGTGGCTCGAAGGGGGCCTCAGCCAATCCTTCTAGAACTACTGCCAGGTCCCAAGAGGGAACCCTGGTACGAGCCGCAGGTCTCATCCTCCAAGCTCCACGGAGGAAACGTACGATCAATTGGTGTCTCCCCAGAGACCCATCACCCAACGGAGCGTGGAAAGCCGCAATGGCAGCCACGTACACCTTGAGCGTGGACGGGGTAAGACCAGAGGAGAAGCGATCTTGGAGGAACTCCAGCACTGAAGCCACTGGGCAGTTAACTGGGTCAACCTCACGCCTCCTACACCAATTAATAAACACATTCCACTTTAAACCATACAGTTTCCTCATGGAGGGAGCTCTAGAGCTGAGTATGGTCTCCACTACTCCAGCTGACAGGCCGGCCTCTAGGTACTGTGCCCCCTCAGGGGCCAGACCCACAGTTTCCATAACTCCGGCCGAGGGTGAAATATTGAGCCCCCCGCCTGTGTCAGCAGGTCCCTCCTGAGGGGAATCTCCCACGGAGGGCCGTCTAGGAGCAATATTATGTCCGAGAACCATACTCGGGCCGGCCACAACGGGGCTACCAACAGTAGACTGATCCCATCACGACGGACCCTTTCCAGAACTCCCGGGAGCAGAGCGATCGGGGGAAATGCATACAGACGCAGCCTCGGCCACGTCTGCACCATAGCATCCAGCCCCAGTGGGGCTGGAGGGGTGAGGGAAAACCACAGCGGACAGTGGGTCGTCTCTCGAGACGCAAACAGGTCCACTTCCACAGGGCCGAACCTCTGACATATCGACTCCACCACCTCGGGGTGAAGTCTCCAATCCTCGGGCCTCAGCCCCTGTCTCGACAGGACGTCTGCTCCCTGATTTAGACTTCCCGGGATGTATGTTGCTCTCAGAGACAACAGTTTCCCCTGGGACCACAGGAGGATCTGATGCGCCAGTCTGCATAGAGGGCGAGACCTCAGGCCCCCCTGATGGTTTATATAGGCCACCACTGACATGCTGTCTGACCTCACGAGGACGTGATGACCTCTGAGGTCCGGCAGGAAGCTCCTCAGAGCCCGGGAGACCGCCAACATTTCCAGGCAGTTTATGTGCCAGGAGGAATGATGGTCCCGCCATAGGCCTGTCGTGAAGCGGCCGTCCATGACCGCGCCCCAGCCCGTGAGGGAAGCGTCTGTCGAAACGGTTTTCCGGCGACATGGCGCTCCCAACACTGGACCTTGGGACAAGAACCAAGCTTTCTTCCACATAACCAGAGAACGAAGGCATCTGCGCGTAACTCTGATTGTGCGGAACGGGTTTCCCCTCGGGGAGAACCCCTTGGTTTTTAACCACCACTGGAGGGCCCTCATGTGCAGCAGGCCAAATGGAATGATGTTGGACGCTGCTGCCATGAGTCCCAGCACTCTCTGGAAATGCTTGACAGTGACGGCTTGGCCTAGCTTTATCCCAGCCACTGTGGCCAGAATGGACTCGACTCGCGCAGGCGACAATCGTGCCCGCATTACGACCGAATCCCATACCACTCCCAGGAACGTAGTCCTTTGGGCTGGTATCAACACGCTCTTCTTCGTGTTTAGTCTCAACCCCAGTTTCTGGATGTGGGCAAGAACAACATCTCGATGCTGAACCGCCAGCTCTTGAGACTGGGCCAAAATCAGCCAGTCGTCTATATAGTTGAGCACCCTGATGCCCTGGAGCCTCAGAGGTGCTAGAGCTACATCCATACATTTGGTGAATGTGCGGGGAGAGAGAGCTAGGCCGAATGGAAGAACCCGATATTGGTACGCTTCGCCCCCGAAAGCGAACCTCAGGAACTTCCTGTGGGATGGAAGGATGGATATATGAAAGTATGCGTCCTTCAGATCTATCGTGACGAACCAATCCTCGGATTGGATCTGACTCACGATCATGGGAATAGTGAGCATCTTGAACCTGAATCTCCTCAGAGAGCGGTTCAGATATCTGAGATCTATGATCGGACGCAACCCCCCATCTTTTTTGGGAACTATAAAGTAGCGGCTGTAAAACCCGGACTCCCTGTCTAGTGGAGGAATATGCTCTATGGCCCCCTTTGCCAGCAGGGAGTTTACTTCCTGTTCCAATACCCGACCCTGCGTCGGGTTGACTACAGTCCAGACCACCCCGTTGAATCTGGGTGGGTGGAACCCGAACTGCAGCCTGTACCCGTATTGTATCGTGCGCAGCGCCCACGGGGAAATATTCGCTAGATTTTTCCATGCATCGAAATATTTCGCCAAGGGAACCAGGCTCTCGAGCCTGGTTTCGGGTATTAATCGGGATTCGTTCTCGACCGCCTGAAACGAATCTCCGGCAGGACTGGACCGAAAACGATTCTCGATGGGCGAACGCAATCGCTGCCCGTCCGCAGGCTCGTGGGGCGGACAAAGCAGCTTGCGATCGCTGGAAACCGATGCGTCCCGAAACGTACTTGACGGCGGGAGAACAACATCGATTTCCTGCGGGCTCCGCGAGGGAGACGACCTCAGTCGCTCCATCACGGGTGGGACCGCCCGCAGAGATCCTAGCACTGCTAGGACCTCTTAGATGTTTTCTTAGCCTGCAGGACGGCCCTCAGGTCACCCTGCTTGGCTTGCGGCTTAGATTGAGAGCGCCGTCTATGCCCCCAAGCTCCTTGAGGGGGGGCTCTAGACGCGACGCTCTCTCTCTGAACCTGCCTGTAGGTGGAGGAGCTGGTACCTGGCTGAGGCTGCGACTGCCCACTGGGGGCAGACTTCCCGGATACTGAGCGACGAGGGAGAAATTGTTTGAAGGCCGCTGATTGATTTTTCGCCTCCTGAAACCTGTCGACAACGGTATTAACAGCGTCGCCGAACAGGCCAGAAGGCGAAATCGGGGCATC